ACACATAAAAATACACCCAAATTCATCCGTTCCTTCCACCAACCGACAGAGCATTCAGCCACAGCACCTTCCTGCGCAGCCATTTCCTCCTTCCTCCAATAAACTATTGGTTAGTGCTGTTAGTGACTGATATTTACCTCAGCCCAGAAAAGCACCTCTCAACCACATCTTCTCCAGGCAGCATGTGAAGTTGTAAGAACTCCAGTATTTATAACAATCTCCATTTGAATGAATTTCCAGTTAAACAAGAATCTCAATCCAGTATGTGCACAGGGACACAAACATACAAACTTTGCCAAGGTTAAATCAGTACAGTGGTTTTGTTAACATCTAATCATTTGGTAATCATCTCATTTCTATAATGTGCCCAGGCCAAGAGGTTCTTTCAGCACAACGATCACAAGCATGCCTTATACACTGGGAAGCCACTTCTAGCACTCAAGCCAGTGACAGCGGACCTTTTGGGGCCCTAATGTCCAAACTGGAAAAAACAAAAACTCAGTAGGTGGCAGGCCACAGTGGCAGAACCAGAAGTCTGCTGCTCCGGCTCCTAGCCCGCTGCCTGTTGAAGCGCCAGCACCGTGGCTATAACTGCCTCCTCAGGTTTGGCTGTGGGGCGAGGGGAGTAGCAATCCGGTGACTTCTGGCTCATGTGCCTGCAGAGAAGGCTCTGTGTTCCAGCTGTGGCACGCGTGCCATATGTTCGCCATCACTGTGTTATGCTGTCCTGAGTAGGATATATATGTCTTTGGAAGAATATATAAAATTTCCTCCTTCCCTTTACTGTAAGCATTCCAAGTTATTTTTCCTCACTCATAGCTGTAAGCTCACCACACTGGTTTGTCATATGCTGTTAACATAATTGCCACAGATATCTACAATAACTTCCTTTAAATCAATGCTTCATGTTTCGGTTGTTGTAGGTTTTTCTGGAATCTTTGGCCATGCTCTGGAGGTTTTTCTTCCTAATGTTTCACCAGTCTCTGTTGCTGGCATCTTCATAGGACAGTAGCTAGAACTCTGTCGTTCTGATATAGTCTGTGGGATTGTTATTTGTAGCTGTGGGATCAGGTTTTTGTTCTTTCGAGGAGATTGGGTGATTATTGTGATCGGGGTGTTTTTTGTTATGGGTGTATTGTGATAAGGGGGGAGATGATCTGTCGCTGTGACTGATGGGTGTTGTTAGCACGTGTTTTGTATGCAGCGATCACTGGTCCTTGTGGGTGGGTAGAGTTCATTGACCTTTTTGCAGGCTGCATTTTTCAGTGCTGGGAGACAGGTTTTGTTGAGTTTTAGACTTTCTTCTTTTTTGTTGAAGCTGTGCTGATGTTTGTGGATTTCAATGGCTTCTCTGTGCAGTCTAACATAATGATTGCTGGGTTTTGCCCAGTATTTCTGTGTTTTGAAATAGGATTTCATGTGCAGCTCATTTCAGGGCATGTTCAGCTACTGCTGATTTTTCCGGTTGTTTTCGTCTGCAGTGTCTTTCATGTTCTTTGATTGTGTTGTGGATGCTGCCTTTTGTGGTCCCAATATATCCCTGGCCACAACTGCAAGGTATCCAGTAT